CAATGAATCAATCATAAGAATAGAATAACACTCATTCTTCATCAATTATTATCATGTTCAGGGGTGAAATGCTCCCAGTTCAGACCGGATCACCTGATCCAGTAGCGATGGAGGCGGGTGGTTCGGAGAAGCGGTAGCAAAAATCCCTGCCCACCCATCCCCCCATGCCCAGCTGAGCCGCACAATCATCAGAGGCTTTTTTTTTTACTTTTAAAAGCATTTTTTCTACAACCTCTTCCGCCGAAAAAATGCTTTTAAAAGTAAAAAAAAAAAGCCTCTGATGATCGCGCGGCTCAGCTGGGATCATCAAAGACTTTTAAAAGGTTCCGGTTTCCCTGTCTTCGGCGATGGCGGCGCCCTTTGAAGCTCCGCCAGCCCCGCCGCCCGTAGAGCCGCTCCGAGACGAGGAAGCGGCTCGAAAACTTCTAAATCCATAGGATTGAAGAAGGAGAGATCGCAGGGCACAGGTCGAGCCCCTGTAACCCCCCAGGGAAGTTTCTGGGGAGAGAACAGGCGTGGCTCCCTCCCAACCTGCTGAAACTCCGGGCAACGTGGGACGATTCTGCCTTTGCAGAACAAGCCGGCTGCAGGAAACTTAAAGCGAAAGAACCAGCTTTAATCAACAGTGAAACTATCTGAATCCTGAATCTTGGAAACGCAAGTATCAGCGCTTTGTTGACTTTTCAATCTGAGAAAACGCGAATGAGTGAAAGTGCTTAGAAAAAACATGGCGTTTAGCCTCAGAGTTAACGAGCCAGCGAGTGTGGATTGGTGAAGTTATTTTGCTTTGCTTTGTTACAAAGTTTCCAAGTTGCTACAAAGTTGCCTTGCTTGTTATAAGAGAAACAATTGGAAAATTTCTCCCTTTCAAAATTTGACTTTGCTTTACTTCAACCTTTATTTGATCAAATCTGGGGGACTTTTTTAGAAGTCTTTGTGCAGGAGGGAAAGGAAAAGGAACTTCCCTCTTTAGAAAAACTAGATCACGTGGCAGGATGGCTTCAAAGAAGCAGGAAGGGAAGGCAACAGGGGGGGGGATCCCCCACACATAAACATGAAACGCAACTTCCCCCTGCTCAGCAGTTACAGACTCAGAAAAAAGAATTTGATGTGGGAGATTTAAAAGAATTTATTTCTAAAACTTTGGATGATAAATTTCAAAAATCTCAACAGGAGATAGATGATAAACTTCAAAAATCACATCAAGGGATAGATGATAAACTTCAAAAATCACACCAGGAATTTATGCAGGAAATTAATGAAGTTAAAGATATGGTGAAACAGAATCAAAACAAGGTGACCAAAAAAATATCAGAAGTGGCATCTGGCCTGGCAGAATTTATTGGGAAAGTTGATTTTAAAGTTGAAGAATTTAAATCAGAAGTTAATGTTAAAATGAAAGACAATGATTATAAAATTGCTGATGTTGACAATAAAATGCAGAGAGTTGAAGACGAGATTGTCATGATACAATTCAGGGCAATGGAGTTTGCTATACGGCTTCGAGGAATTCGAGAGGAGGAAAGACAGGATTTGAGACAAGTCTGTTCTGAGGCCCTGGCTAAGATTTTACAAGTTAATCCAGATGTGGTTTTTCACAAAATAGACAAAATTTACAGAGTGAACTCTTGGGTGGCCAGACAAAGACAATTACCTAGAGATGTAGTCATATATTTTACAGATAGAGAAATAAGAAATGATATCCTGCAAAAATCCTTTTACACTTCCGTACAAGTGGGGGGCTCACGAATTGGAATTTATAAAGAATTACCTCCTAAAATGCTGAAAGCTAGAAAAGAATTTGGTTTTCTCGTTAAGGAATTGCAAAATTTACAGATACCTTTCCGGTGGGACGCACCAGTTGGCATAATTTTCAGATACAAGGGAGAAAGATACCGTTTGAATACCGTGGAGAAGGCACAGCACTTCTACACTACTATTCTCAAGGAAAGAACACCATCTCCACGTACATCTACAGTTTTGGAGATTAAAGAGAGTGAAGAGAAGCAACCTCAACGAGAACTGCAAGAACAGTCTAAGCAGGAACTAGAAGAAGTGCAATTTAATAATGATATAATTTGTTTACAAGAAACGCATATCACAACTCAAGATCAAAAATATTTGATAAACTCCAAACTAGGAACACATTTTATATCTTCAACTTCGCAAAAAAAGAATGGTGTGGTAATTTATGTAAATAAAAAGTTAACAGCTAAAGTTATAGAAACAGATGAAGATGGTAGGTTTGTAGCAATTGAATTGTCTACCGCAAATGGCCAAATTCTTCTGATTGGGATTTATGCTCCCAATCAACAACAGGACTATTTCTATAAGATGTTACATACTAAAATATTGCAATGGGATTACAGATCTATTTTAATTATGGGAGACTGGAATGGAGTAATCGATTCTAAATTAGATAAAAAGAGTTTGGCAAAGTCTAGAATCAGATTACCACAGACCTTTTTTGACATGAAAGAAGATATGGAACTAAAAGATGTTTGGAGAATACATAATCCAAAAGAACTGGACTATACTTTTTTTTCTGACAGACACAGATCCTTCTCTAGGATTGACTTTATTTTGTTGACAGATGATTTACTTGTTAAGACAAAAAGAACAAAGATTTTTCCAAGAACTTTGACTGACCATAGCCCAGTATGGATAGAAATTGAGATGGACAAGGTTGAGAGACGTTCTTGGAAATTAAATGAGAATTTGTTTAGATATGAAAAAAATATAACAGAACTTAAAAAGCATTTGAAAGAATTTTTTGAAATAAATTTGAATAAAGGTACCCCAATTGAAATTGTGTGGGATGCAAGTAAAGCTTATATGAGAGGGGTACTTATCTACATGAACTCTAAACATAGACTGTTCCGACAAAAGAAAAGATCTGAACTGGAAATAGAAATAAAGAATAAAGAACAGTTACTTATTAAAAATCCAACAGATGAAAGAATACGTAGTGCTATAAAACTTTTGAAAGACCAATTTCAAATGCTTATGGCGGAATAAGTTGCAACAAACTTACAATATGCGAAGCATAACACATTTTGTAACGCTAATAAACCAGGCAGATGGTTGGCTTACACATTGAGGAAAAAACAAAGTATACGGACTATTGATAGTATTGATATTGGAGGGAAAGAAATCTTTCAACAAAAATTAATTAAAGAAGCTTTTGTGGACTATTATACTAAATTATATGCTAAAGAGGAGGTGCAGAATGGACTTACAGAAAAATATTTAAACGATAAAAGAGTTACAAAAATTACTGATCAACAAAAGACTTTTAAAAGAAAAAAATCCTTTTTTTGTTTTAAATGCCTCTGACGATCCAAGCTGAGTTGCCTGATCATCAGAGGCATTTAAAAGAAAAAAAGTCTCTGCCAATCAGGCAACTCAGCTGGGATCATCAGAGCCTTTTGAAAGCATTTTTTACAACCTCTTTGCTGAAGAAAAAAAACAAATTGGCCATGCCCACCTAGTCACATTACCCCACCAAGCCACGCCCACAGAACCAGTAGTAACAAATTTTAGATTTCACCACTGATCATGCTATAGAAAGTTATTTTCTCTATATTTGAACAACATACTTCACCATTAGGAGTCTTGTGGACCACTATTTTGAGATTTAAACCACATGTACTGACTTATATGCTTAATTTGGCGTTTTGTTCTTACAATAAAACACATTTTACAATTGTAATTATATCACATGACATGACTACACCATTTAAGGCTACTTTTGGTGCCTAAGAGCCATATGTTTTTCTAATGATGTTTTTGATTCATCTCTTCACACATATACTATATGGCAACTATGGAATTGAACTTTATGTTGTTAATGTTATTTAATGTAGTCATCCATTTAAGATAGACATAGTCCAGTGTTTTGTATTGTATTTCTTCAGCGCTGCTCTAAACTAAAATTTTAATTACTGTTATGATGTAGCTCCTTGAAGTACTTTGGCTTTTGGTTGTATATTGCTTTTTTAGAGTATAACTGTAGGCTAAAATACTTCAAATGGATAGCACTGACATTCTAAGCAAAACATTTACAGTAGTAATTTAATGGTTTATTTTGGGTCAAATGGACCAACATAAATTTGAGGATTTGATGGGATACCAGAAACCAAATAAAAATGTTTTTTTGAGGTGAAAGATCCAATCTAAACCTCAATTTAAAGACATTCCTTTGATAAGTAACCCTTAATATTAATATTATTATCAATAAGAACCAGTTTGGTCTAGTGGTTAAAGCATCAGGCTAGAAACGAAGGGACCATGAGTTCTAGTCCTGCCTTAGCCATGAAAGCCAGCTGGGTGACTTTGGGCCAGTTATTCTCTCTCAGCCCAATTCACCTCAGAAAGTTATTGTTATGAAGAAATAGGAGGAAGGAGGAGTATTAGATATGTTTCTGCCTTGAGTTGTTGATAAAAATAATAAAGGTAAGATATAAAACAAGTAATATTTTCATTAAATACAATTTAGACAAATACAAATAAATACAATTCTGCCTTGGTGATTTTTTTCCCTTGTCCTCTCTCACAGGTATGGCACTGTTGGGTTTTTTACTGCATTCAGGATCAGAAAGAGCCATCCCTCAACAGCTGGTGCCAATAAGGTTGGCAGTACCTTAATATTTTCCAATAGGAAGGAGTGGAAAAGAAGGAATCAGAAGTGTTTAATGTTTTCCAATAGGAAGGAGTGGAAAAGAATGAATCAGAAGTGATTTTGTGGTGATTAATTTTTTCTTCAGAAAGCAAGAGGAAAGGCATTGATTTGAGGCTCGTGTCCCAGAAGGTTTCTGGCTGGCAAATTGCTGCCTATAACTCTATAGTAACAATCTTCTATGTCTCCAAACATATTTTTCTTGTGTTCAAAGAACCATAAAGCACAAAAGAGAAGAGTGTCCATTCTAGCACTCTATATAAGCTGTTAAAAAAATGAAATTATTTTGAATCATTCAAAAAGGATATGAAACTTTACAAACCTTTTTATACGTTTTCTCCTCATTTTGTTTTTCAGAAGGGGGATCTCCATTTTCAGCTATAGTCTGCATCTGAAAAGATTTAAAAGTAGAAATATGTTTTATTAGTAGTGTTCTAACTCACCTTTTCCAGACAGGTAACAGTCAAATTAAATAAAACATAAAACATAACACATCAATGTACAAGCAACAACTAAAATCAATAATCAGGTGGTAGTGCCACTAAGCTATGCCAGATAGTGGACTTTATAGATTGACACTTGTGGACTTTGTTATTATTTCACCATTCTCTGGATAATTTAAAAGGTAAAGGTTCCCACACACATGCGAGCTAGTCGTTTCCAGCTCTAGGGGCAGTGCTCATCTCCGTTTCTAAGCCGAAGAGCCAGAGCTGCCCAAAGAAGTCTCCATGGTCATGTGGCCATCATGACTCAACTGAAGGCCCACGGAGCGCTGTTATCTTCCCACCAAAGTGGTCCCTGTTTTTCTACTTGCATTTTTTACGTGCTTTTGAACTGCTAGGTTGGCAGAAGCTGGGACAAGTAACTCTGTTATGCAGCACAAGGGATTCGAACCGCTGAACTGCTGACCTTCTGATCAGCGTCTTAGCCACTGAGTCATCGCATCCCTGAATAATTTGGGGAGTCCTAATTTCTAAGCCAAATTTTACCTCTGGATAGTCACATCATCACAGAATATTCTAAATGCTATTAAAAGGCACAGCAATAATAACAACCCTGGAAAGACTTCATCTGATGAAGTCTACTATCTGATGAAAGATAGTAACTAAGAGAACAAGAAAGGAACCTGTAATAAAGACTTTAATTGCTGGGAGATTCATGTTGTAAAAGGTAATCCTTCAAATGTATTTGTCCCAGTCCTTTTAAGGTTTTAAACACTAAAATCAATCCTCAACGAGACTGGAAACAAATCAATAGCAATGTACTTCTCTGAATACCAGGTTGATAATATGCTCAGGACAGCCAGTGCTAGTAAATAATGTGGTTCCTCTAATGGCGAATCAAACCAATACTTGCCAAAGTAAGTCTTAAAAGCAATGCATTCCTAATCTGATCATTACTGAAGCATGAGTAATAACAGTCAAACCATGTCTCTCCAACAAATGAGTTCAACAACAGAGCAACCAAAGCCACCAACCAAAGGAATATAATAAAGAGCTAGCTCCTTTATAGAAAAAATTGTTTATAGGAATCTTACACAAGACAAAGCAAAAATCTGCACTGAGAGATTTTCCACTAATAGTTCTATCTTATCCTAATAATTAGTGATGGCCATTATATTTTTTAGTCACTACATTCACCCGAATGGCCCCCTGGATTGCATGGTTGAATTATAATCCTAACCCAATATGGCTACCATAGTTGGAGGCCTGTTCAGGTCTGTTTGGCTTCAGAGTTTATACAAGTATATATACCCTTGTGTATTTATCTGTTTCTATCTCATGGAGGACAACTCTATAATCACAGCCTATTTAGGCAAACCAGCCCCTTCAACTTTGTGCAGGAATTCAAATTAAAACATCCCAGACAGATGGGTGTCTAGCCTCTACTATATATCTGATGAGTTTTTATACATAAATTATATGCAACATTCCCAGTGATCCTTAAAAGATCTCTGGATCATTCCCATTCTGTAGCTGTAGAGGGATGCTCGGGTCAGTGGGCGGACCCTCCCGCCGGTTTTACTACCAGTTCTTGCAAACCGGTCCGAACTGGGAGCAACCCACCACTAATGTTCGGGGTGTTTCCCTGCCAATGCCAATAGCATTGGCATAAAAGTCATGAGCACATCTGAATTTTTTATTACATATAACCAACAATAGATATTTAATGCAATTCCTATTTCTTTATGCATAGAACATGCACAAATATCAGTGAAAAGAGATAGATGAAAGAGCAAATAAAGGCAAAGAAAAATATTAGTAATCCCACCAAGATAAATACCAATTAGAAAGTTTAAAAATTTCAGCGGCAAGCAAAGAGCAAGGAGGTCATAAAGACATGAGTAAGTATGGGTTTCTGAAAAGTCTGTCTCCTGTGTCCCAACCAGACATGTCTCAATCTTCATTAAACAAAGTGAAAAGCCTTCTAGGGTATCTTGGTGAACAGATAAACCGGTAGAGAATATGACTGCATTTTCTTTATCCTAGATTCAAAATGTTCAGCTCTTTAAAAAAAAAAAAGCATTCACTAAAATGCTGGAGTGGGCCTGCAAGCTGATATAGTTACTACATAACAGGCATAATGTCCTCTCATAGATAACACCTTAATTTAAGAAAGATCATTAAATAGCTCATCTGGCTTTACAAGCTGATTGTAAACCAACATTTAAAAGATGGAGGTTCACAGTTCATGCTATAAATATTCCTTTACTAAACTCTTGAAATTAAAATGTGCTAGTTAACAGACTGATGCCTACATTGAACATGTTATTAGTCAAAATGCATGTTCTTATTTAGGTTGTTGATCTGCTCTTTTGGTCACCCAAAGAGCTATGTTAAACTTTATGAACATAAAACAAGATGTTTAGAAACTGCCCAGACTCTGCATACATTAGCAACCAATTATTTAATGACTCTTTGAAGTTACAATAGAGCTGAATGCAGAGACTTATGACAGGTCCTTGAAGTTGTGGCCACTGCAGTGTCTCCATGGTCATGTGACTACAATTCAGTCACTTGGCACTTGGCTCGCATTTACAACAGATGGAGGGCCCATGACCACACCACTGTCATTTGAGACCTTCCCTACCAACTTCTCTCATGCAAAGTCAATGGGGAAGCCAGCAGGAAAGTCACAAGTCACCCCCATAAGTCACTCTTGCTGCTTTTTTTCCCTCAAGAGCTCAAGTGGTAGAGTGAGTGTGGATCACTCTCTGGGCAACTGGGCAACTGCCCGCCCAGTTGCAGTCAGATGATGCCACAGTGCCATTCCCGTCTGTGCCCATCCCACTCCCACTACATTGTAACATAAATTCTGGTTCTAATTACCATATTTAATCAAAGGCTACCTGTAATCACAAATATATTTTTCCATTCTTACTGTAGGCTTAATGATAGCAACAAGTAGTAACAATACTGTTATTAATAATATTAAAATGCATGTACCTTTCTTAGCTATGTTACGAACAGCCTGCAGTTGAGAGAGGGAATCAACCCTTTCATTGATGCTGTCAATTTTTCCAGGACACTGTTAAAAAAAAGTTCTTTGTTAACCAGGGTAAATTATTTAAAAAATATTTTTATACAGAATAGCAATGAAACAAAAGCAGGGCCCTAACACAGACACACACACAAATATAATCATTTATGTGTTACTACATTCATACATTATTTATGATCATTCTAATTACAGGTGGTGCTTGACTTACAACCTACCCGAAAAAGGAGACTTACGACCTAGATTTGAAATTCCAATATCCACTCCCCCCCCCCCCCATGGTTACATGACCACACTTCAGGTGCTCAGCAACATGGTCACATTTATGGCCATTTGCAGCATCCTGCAGGCACATGACCGCATTTTATGAGTTTTGCTGAAAACCAACACGGAATCGTATTTATGATTGTGGCATTTGTTTAACGACCACAGCGTCCGCACTTATGACTGACACATTAATGATCCCTGAGAAAAAAGTTATAAAGTTGTGTCAAACACATGATCAACCTGTTTTATAACCATCACAACATATAATGGGGAGGCTCTATTACAGTCATAGGTCAAGGACTATCCCATTACACATTTAGGGAAAGCAATAGAGGCATGTTACATTGTAGAACATTACTAAAATATATTGAAGGGGAATTTATTTCCGTAGACCTTTGTGAGGCTGCCTTAAAGATACATGAAAAGGAATTATAACGCTGGTTAGCTCATTCGCATAGTAGGCTCATTGTACACACATACAGAATATTATTACAACAGCAAAACCAAGTGTGTTTTGAAAGAGGACTGATAGGATTATAATCAGTTGTCCAATCTTAGCTTTCCCTATAAAGCTTCTGAGATCTGGCTTCCAACAGGAAAATAGACTGCATGCAAAAACAATGGAAACGGTTCTATATTTTTTATCCACTTCTCTATTAACTGGGAAAATAAGCAATTTACTGCTGCAGGTTTACTACTCTTCAACCACGAAACACTGTATATGGACCTTCTTCTAGTTTCTGAATATACCCATCCCTCCATAAAAAAGAGGAGATGAAGGCAATAAAAGATCCAATGACAGAACTGCATGTCAGCCTTGTGCCAAGCAACTTTCGTAAAACTCTGCTTAATTACAGGGCTGCTTTAAAATAAATCCTTTTTTCAATATTTTTTTCCTATAAGTATAAATATAATGACATTTTAAAAAGTTATCCAAAATAATCATATAACCTTGTACCTGGACATTTTTGGTTATGGTAACATTTAATTTATATAATCCTATATAATTCTGATAATTTATATTTAATTAATACAATGTCAAACAACTTTGTGGTATCTTTAACCAATTAAGACATAATTTTTTTATACGCTATAATATACTAGCTAGTCTTTATGGTGGCATAAGATCCTATTTATTTTTCACTGTAATAGATTAGAAATATATAATGAGCAATTAATTGAACTACTGAAACTATACTCCAAGAAAATAAAGCTCTTTTTAAATGAAAAGCTAGCAAATAGTATGTTATGACCAAGCATTATATAAGATGGTTTGAAATTCTTTTTATATAACCATTTGTATTGGATACTAAATAAATCCTTAACACCCCCCCCCCCCCAATGCCAAATATCAGTTTTTAACATGTTACACTGCCTTTATGTGCTTCCACAGAATATCCCATGATGGGAGATATTAATAAATTCCTAATACTTAGGGAATACCCAGTGTAAAATATTTTTTCCATGCTGGATCTTAATAAACTCTACATACTATGATCATTTAAGGGCCTTTATATGCTCATCAAAGAATCATACTGTTTACACAACAAGCAGACTCTCTCATCTATCCTTGCACTCTGCCTACATAGAGGTGGATTTATATGCAGTTTTTCCCCTTGGCTGTCAAAGCATATTTCTATGCATACCAACTTAAAAGGAAATGTCTTCAGAAAAAATAATTCAATGCTATCCTGAAATAACTAAACCAAACCAAGTACAATATAGCCTTGAACTTTCCATCCAAGAAGAATATTTGGGATGTAACAGAGGCTTGCTTATTCCCAATTTATTTGGAGAAAATTCTTTTTTTTTTTAATGTGGGAATTCATATTGCCAAGGTAAAGGAGGCGTTGATTTCTTTAGCAGAACAACTACATTTGCAAATTAAACTGAATTAAATAAATCTGGGGTCTCCAACCTTTTGGTCAAATATCACATATGTGTGTCCGCATCTGTATGTGTCTATGGATATGTGAGAGAAACACTTAGGGCTTGAAAGAAAAATGATGCATGCAGTCCGCCATAATAAAAAAAAAACCAATGCTTCCTAATTTAACACTTGTGTAGTTATATTTGCCCTTCCCATTATCATCTGAAGAATCACAAACCAAATAAGATCTGTATACTAAACCACTTGTGTTTGCTTGCAATTTTCAGTTAGGCAAAACTGGAAAGTTTAGGGCAACAATAGACTGCTTTGGAAGAGAGGCTAAAATATGAAATTACACAGCAATGGATGGGGAGGGAAGTGTGAGGAAGCGACTCAAATGCCTGCTTCTGAGGTAGGGCTGGCTGAGATTACCAACAATCGATGGGTGAGCCCTTTTTTCTCCCTGGTGGGAGAGGACCCTTAGTGACACGCTGGAATCGGGAGTGGGGGTGCAATTTTATTGCGGTCCATGACTCCTTTTGTTCCCCCTCCCCTCAGCAAAGTAGGGAGGATAGCTAAGAAAGAGGAGTGATTTCTGGCACTCCCTACCAGCTTCTCACAAGCAACATCAATGGGGAAGCCAGTAGGAAGTCAGAAATTGTTCCCATTTCTATTGCTATTTTGCCCACCCATGGTCATTCTATTTCTCTGTTTAGATACGAGGATGACCTAATGAGTCACAGGTTATTTAATAGAATTTTCTTCTGGTAAGTGTTCTCCTACCATGAGAAAGGGATAGCACTTGGCCAATCCTGCCTGAGTTCAAAACTAGGTGGAACTGGGCTTGATCAGAACTTGAATCTAAGCAATGAGAAACACCAGAGTGCAGCCTAAACTAGGAACTAGGAGGAGGAAACAGCAAAGTATGTTCATGCTATTGCCAAGAAAACAGCATGGTTGAGTCCATGATATCACCAGAGATCAAGCTCCACTTAAAAAAAAAGATTTTACTTCTGGGTATGTCTAAGGAAATGAGCCTAAAAGTTTCATTATCATTTAAGACAAATGAAATACCCTGGTTCTCAAATCAACAAGAGTTCTGTAATTGTTAAGAGTACATTTTGTCCAAATTTGATCCCTTAATTTCCCCTCCGGCACAGTGGGTCGTTTTCCTTTTCATCTACAGAATAGTTTTTTGTTGGAATGCATGTCCACCAAGTCTTGTCACTTCTTTGCAGAACCTCTTTGATTACAGCAAAACGACATTCCTGGAGTGCCATAGTTTTTGAGCTGCCCAGCATGATGCCAACCAGTCTTTTCATAAACTTCAGAATAAACAAACAACAAGAAAAATATATTATGGGGGCAACGCCAACAGGCCTGAGGACTCTGGGAAGGGGTGAACTAGTGGGATAGTTGACTTATTGTTAACATTCCTCTGCCTATTAATTTCTTCCAGTCTTAATTTTGTTTTTATCATTTTTAATTCTTTTTAATAATGATTACATAACGGTTTTAAACAAGGACTGCTTTATATTTCTACTGTTTTGTTGTCACTCAGAATCGCTTTCTATGAGATGATGGCCATATAAATTAATTAGATAGATAGATAGATAGATAGATAGATAGATAGATAGATAGATAGATAGATAGGAATTAAAACGTAGAGGACTGGGGAAAGCTACTTATAAAGATCTACTTGAGCCATTATTCAGACAAGCATTTACTAAAAAGTAAGGAACTATAGAGAAAGACTGTTTTGTTGAGTTCTGGATGAATCCTCTGCATTTTATAAATTGTAGGAATGAACCAGATTGCTCAGACACATACCCATTTAATAACATGCCAACTGAAATCCTATTAAATGCCATCCAACAAACAGAATAAAACAATTCTTGCTTAAACACATGGAATTATTAAGAGCATTAAAAGCTTTTGTATTTAAAGAATCCATATGAATAATCAAACTCATGTTTCAGCAGAAAGGAATGATAACTAAATATAGAAAGAATATTCTTGTTTCTTTATTTATTCATGACCAAGACTTTTTTTCCAGAGGAAGTCTTTATATAATTATCTGTAGTAGGAATAATTGGTGAGTGTAGTTAGCAAAAAGTATTTAATATGCAAAATCTCTAAACTACATTTCTCAAACAAACAATTTACAAATAAGGACTTGCTTCTTCTTTAACAGCAGCATTTCACCTCATCTTTCTTAATATTATGTGGCTAATTTAATAGCAGTGGATATCAGAATAAAAATACAATTTAAAGGATTATAAAAAAGAAATCATAATCATGCCCAAAGCATAGAACACTAAATCACTGTACTACAATATTTTTTTCCAGGAAGTCACCTACTGATTATAATTGTTACAATGGACGAAGGTATTTAAAAACTAAAACGTATTTATACTTTATGTACTGATACCGAGTGTTTCTCCAAGACTACAGGGCAACAAACAGTGATAAAAAAATAAAAAGTTATAACCTTCGGCATTATCAACTGAAACTAAATACTGCAAGATAGGATATGATTAAACACAAAAACATGCTCTGTGATTTGAGATAGGAATCCAACACCTTCTTTAACTGGCTTTCATCCCATGTAGAACATATATGAATATTCAAAGCTACTTTATTGTTAGTTCAAACCAAATCACTTGCTCCAAAAGGCAATGATTCTTCAATGATTCAAGCACTAATTCAAACTGAATCTGAATTCAGAAAACAGGTGCTCTGTCACTAAGGAAACACTCCTTCCCCAAATGGCTAGAACAGTTGAGAAAATGCCTGATGATTATAAGCATGGAATGTTGCAGTACATGATTAAAGTGATATTTTAGTTTCCATGTAAAGAGAGAAGAAAAGATTAAATAACAATGGCCTATTC